GTGGAGGGGGCTCCGGCCCGAGCGGGCGGCCGGCTTGGCCGTTCCCTTTCGAGGGTGGCCGTGGCGCCCGGCGCCGCTTCCCCCCATTGTCCCCTTCCCGTCTGTCCCCTGTTCGCTGCCGAGGACTCGTCGCTCCCAGCGTCGCCGGTGGTCGCTGCCGGGTTGCGGGGTTCCCTGGGCTTCCCAGCTAGGTGTGCCTGCCCCCTTTGCCCCTTGGGCTGTCTAGCCTCGGGGCTGCTTGGGTGACCCTTGCCCTATGGTTTTGTTTACCGGGCGTCGGGGACCTTCGACCCTGAGCGCTTTTCGGAGACAGGATGTTTACACCTGAGGGAGCAGTCATGGCGATTCGGGGCCCAGTTTCTCCCAGGAGCTTTGTGTGGTGAAGGAAACTGAGGCACAGAGCGTCTGTGGGCTGTGACTGAAGTGTTGACACAGCCCCGTCTGCTTATCTGCCCTGTGCACTCTCAGGGTTCCGGGGTATCCCTGTTGCTGTTAAGACCAAAACAAGAATGTCAACGAACCCTGTGCTCTCCCCTACACCTACTAAGTGTTTTTCTTTCCTCCTCTGTGCAGCATAAAGGTTGACCTTTTGATCTATCAAAAAGCATCTCTCCGGGTTTCCTTACTTGTGTTGCCATGTTTTTCAGCTTGTCATTTAATGCTAGAGCAACTAAGATTCTCCTACTCTTTTTTGCTCCACTGGAGTAACTCTGAAGAGTCTGCACTTTCCTCAGTTAGTGGGCATCAGACTCTTCACATCTTTGGGAGCGCACTGGCAGAGTAAACTACACACTGGGGCCCAGCATGGTGGCACCTGCCTGTAGTCCCAGCACTTTGGGAGACTGAGGGACCATCACTTAAGCCCAGGCGTGGGAGGCTGCAGTGAGCTATGATGGCTCCTCTGCATTCCAGCCTAGGAGACAGAGCAAGATCCTGTCTCAAAAAAACAAAGATACATACTGGGATTGCCCAGTATTGTGTAACTTGTTCTCTCACATGCGAACACCTCCAACAAGCTTCACTTAAATTAATAGAGAATGCTTTGAATGTAGCAGCCACAAAATGATTTAAAACCATGAGAGATTGATACAAGGCCAAAAGGTACATCTTTTATAAATGATAGTAGACAAAGTAGGCATGTGGACCACTTGGAAGATTTCTGGAAGAGTGTCTACTATTTTAAATGATTGTATTCTGCCAAAAGTGAAAATAAGGTCTTTGCACAGACTCCCAGATATTTTTATAAATATGGAGACTTTTGAGGATTGATGCCCAATGGGCTTTGTGCATGCAGTGGCTCTCTTAAGTCACTTCACTGGGGCCCAAGTTTTTGTTTTTGTTTTTTCCTGGGTTAACTCTGTTGTGTGGACATTCTTAGGTGGAAGGCAGGGGAGATACATTTGTTTTGAACTTCTGAAATGTAGCCTGTCATTTGTTTCTGAATGTACAGAGCGTGATGGCGGCGCCCGAGGTAGCTGGTGTTGTGGCCAGTGCCCCCAGTCCTCCAGAATCCTCTTCTAGTTTATGTGCTTCTAAATCAGATGAAGGTCTCCCGGATGATCTAAGGTAATGTGTAGACTGTTGACTACGAAGATTCATTTGGGTAAAGGGCTTTTGTAGCTGGCTTTTCCTCTTTTTGGCTCTAAGACACTGCACTCGATTAAGCTTTTTAAAGGTAGGGAACTATCTGATCTATCTTTGTATTTCTGGTATCCAATATAGCATCAGGTACTCAGCATGCTAAATGTTGAATAAATAGATTGGAATACAGGGGGTCAGACTCATCAAAAATGCAAATATTTCCCAACCCTTTCCTACATGGACTATGTGTTCATTTAGCCATATGTTTATATATCATACTTGTATGTATGAGGCATTTTATGTAGATATATACACAGATATATGTGTATGAATGCACACATATAAACACAGATATATGTATGTGTGCATGTCCGTCTAGATAAATTTGTTCATATGGCTTACTGCTTCATGTACATGTTTGACCTCCCATCTAAACTCTTTTTTTTTTTTTTTTTTGAGTTGGAGTCTCACTCCGTCGCCCAGACTGGAGTGCAGTGGCTGCTCCCGGCCACTGCAGCTTCCAGCTGCTGGGCTCCGGCGATCCTTCTGCCTCAGCCTTCCGAGTAGCTGGAATTACAGGCACGGGCTACCACGCCCAGTT